AAGCGCGACTTGGGAAAAAATTGTGAGGAAGTATCAGGCGGGAGCCGCTGTTGTTGTACTCGGGGGCCAGGGGGCCAATTCTGAGACCCAAGACTTTCCCTTATAAAAAACAGGCCCCAGGAGAAGCACTTCAATTGACAAACTACAATGTGTCCCGGAGGTGGGGGTGGCAACAATTATTATGGTTGATAGTGAGTCAGGAGAGTTCAGCAACGACAACAACAACAGCAGCATCAGCAACAACACCAACAGCAACCACGACGACGACGACAACGAAAACAACAACAACATCAACAACAACCCATCACCATCACCACCATGATCATCAGCGTCATCATCATCACTACCACCACCATCACCGTCACCATCACCATCAACATCATCAGCATCATCCTCATCATCAGCAGTATCATCATCACGCTCAGCATCTGCATCCTAGCAACCATCAGCATCAGCAGCATAGACATCATCATCATCATCAGCAGCAGCAGCATCATCATCACCAGCATCATCACAAGCATCATCAGCATCATCAGCAGCATCATCATCCCCCTCATCATCATCAGCAGCATCATCATCACCGTCGGCACCATAATAAGGATCATCATCGTCAGCAGCATCCTCATCGTCAACAGCAGCAGCAGCAGCATCATCATCATCCTTCCTCCTTCTCCTCCTCCTCCACTTCTTCCTCCTTCTGATGTACCTCCCCTGTGTCACCTGCCTTGAACCTCCCCCTCATCCCTTTCCCCTTCCTCACCCTCCTTCTCCTCCTCCTCCTCCTCCTCCTCGTGCCGATCGAGATGACCAGCAGCTTGTTGAAGTTCTGCATCACAAGCACGGTGGTCCCCGAGACGAGCTGCTGCGTGCGGAGCCCCACGTACCCCAGGGACGCGCCGCACAGCCCAGACATCACCACCAAGAACCAAGTGCTCCTGCAGAGGGGAGGGCGGGAGGAAGAAGAGCAGTCAGGGGGGAGGAGGGAGGAGCAGCATGAGGGGCGGGGAGGAAGGAGGAAGAAGGAGGAGTGGGAAGGCTGGACGAGGAAGAGGAGCAGCAGCAGCAGCAGCTGGGGGGAGAAAGAGGAGGAGGTAGGGAAGGGGGGGAGCGTGGCCGAAGAAGGAAGAAAGACGAGGAGGAAGAGGAGGTGGGGGAGAAGGAGAAGGAAATGGAGGGGCCAGCCTCCCTCCCCAATCCTCCGCTTCCTCCTTATCGTTCTCCCACTCACGCTCCCTCCTCCATTCTCCTCATCCTCCTCCTCCTCCTCCTCCGCTCTCCTCCTCCTCCTCCTCCTCATCCTCCTCCTCCTCTTCTTCCTCCTCCTCCTTATCAGCATCCTCATCTTCCTCCTCCTTCGCCTCCTCCTCCTCATCATCATCCTCCTCCTCCTCCTCCTCTTCCTCCTCCCCCTCCTCCTCCTCCTCCTCCTTATCATCATCCTCATCTTCCTCCTCCTTCGCCTCCTCCTCCTCATCCTCGTCCTCCTACTCCTCCTCATCCTCCACCTCCACCTCCTCCACCTCCTCCTCCTGCTGCTCCTCCTCCAATTCCTTCTCCAATTCCTCCTCCTCGTCGTCCTCCTCCTCCTCATCCGTCTCTTTCTCCTCCTCCACCTCCTCCCATCATCATGATTCTCTCCCCATCATCATCGTCATCACCAGCATCATCATCATCATCATCATCATCATCATCATCATCATCATCATTAGCAGCAGCAGCATCGTCATCATCAGCAGCAGCAGCAACAGCACCATCATCATCGTCATCCTCATGAGCATCATCATCAAACTCATATTCAGCATCACCATCATCAGCAGCAGCAGCAGCCACAGCAGCATCCTCATCATCTGCATCGTCATCACCACCATCATCATCAGCAGCAGCATTAGCATAAGCATCATCGTCATCACCACCAGCACAATCATCGCCATCATCATCAGCAGCAGCATCATCATCAGCATCAGCAGCATCGTCATCGTGAGACGTAACATCATCATAAGCATCACCACCATGATCCTCATCGTCATCACCATCACCGCCATCATCCTCATCATCATCAGCAGCAGCGTCAAAATTCATCAGCCTCAGCATCATAATCAGCAGCAGCACCATCATCACCATCATGACCATCATCTTCATCACAACCACTACCGTGATCATCATCATCATCATCATCGTCACCACCAATCATCATCATCATTAGCAGCAGCATCATCGTCAACATCTGCAACAGCATCATCACCATCATCACCATCATAATCATCAGCATCCTCAGCACCACCATCATCATAATCATCATCAGCATAGCTAACATCATAATCATCGTCATCCT